CACTACTTTACATTGTAGCAAAGTGTCATTTCTTCAGTGTTGTCACATGAAAAGATATAATAAAATATTTACAAAAATGTGAGGGGTGTACTCACTTCTGTGAAATACTGTATATGCTGGAGACTTGTTTTGAAAATTTAAGAAGAACTTCATACATCAATACAATTTAGATTTGTCTACAAACCTATTTTTTAAAGGAATAGTTGACCCAAAAATGAAAATCAGCTGAAAATGTACTCGCCATCAGGCCATCCAAGATGTAGATGAGTTTGATTCTTCATCAGAATGGATTTGGAGCAATGTAGTATTACATCACTTGCTCAGCAATGGATCCTCTGCAGTGAATGGGTGCCGTCAGAATGAGAGTCCATTGCCTGTTGTCCTCTCACATCAAAATCCACAGTGCTTGATCTGTGCATATTTCTCTCCTAATTCAGATGAGGTGACTTTTTCACTGGAGAGAGGAATAGGATAGAGGACTCATATTTTAACCAAAAGCAACTGTCCGAACTTTAAAAAGTCTCAAAGATGGATTTGTTTCTAACAAATATGCAGCCTTTCAATGCACAAGATGTTAATTGATGGACTACTTGTGGATTATTGTGATGTTTTTATCAGCTGTTTGGACTCTCATTCTGATGGCACCCATTCACTGCAGAGGATCCATTGGTGAGCAAGTGTTCTGATGAAGAAAAACTCATCTACATCCTGGATGACTTGAGGATGTGTACATTTTCAGCTAATTGTCTTTTTTGGGTTAACTTTTCCTTTAAGTATTTCAGCATCAGCCTTTTTAAAGGTTTTTAAGATCCTGAGAAACATAAATGAAGTCATGTGTGTCCAAACCTCTGATTGGTAATGTAACGTTTTGGTGCCACATGCATCTAAAGTGAGACGGCTGTAATGTTATTGCTGCGTCATATTACCACTAACCTGGTTGGGCACTTCCTTAGACTGAGCACAAACGTGTACAAGCAGCACTGAGGGGACAGGAAGGGTTGCCTTCAGCGTCAGAGAGCCATCGGATGGGACCGGCAGAGGCCCATCAGTCTGTGGATCCTACATCATACACATTAAAGACTTCATAAGATGAAAAAAAAAATGTATGTTTTGTACATATTCAATCTCAGCTGAACAAAACAACAGCTCATGAGCTCATTAACATATGGACACCCAAATGAGAAACAAACGGAAGTCTTAAAGGTATATTAGCAAAAAGCAGCCTGTTTAAAACTCAAGCGGTCATGAAAAAAACTGTTTTGGGTGCAAGAAACCTTAAGTAACATTATAAAAAGTGAACTTGAAGGAAAAATTAAATGCTCATTATCTATAAAAGTGTGTTGTGAAGAAGTATGAATGTGTGTGTTGAACCTCTTGGCTCCGTAGCTGTGTGAACTGTTGTGCAGTGGGATAGTCAGGGCTGCCCATGTTCTCCCACAGTTTAAATGGGTTTGTCACGTTATTATCCATGTAGTGTGTCACATACATCAGACCTAGAAACACAGACAGGATAGAACTGTAAATACAAGCATATTCTGTTCTATTCGATTCTACATTCTTAAGAAAATATAACTAATATATGAATATAAACATATTTTCATTTATTTTCCGTTCTTTAATTCCTTTTTTTTAAAACAAGTTAGTTTTTTTTAAATAAGGTGCTGGTTTGTAGTTACTGACCCTTACGCTGAGGTATTCCAGTGAGGCGCAGGGTGATGATGTCTGCGGTGGAGGAGGTCTGGTTATCTCTGCTGTTATACAGCAGGACGGTGGTCTGCCAGCTATCGGCTGTGTTCGGCACCTGAGGGACGTGAACGGTGGCCAGCGCACCCACTGATGAATTCACTTCAGAGCCATCAGTCAACACCTCAGCCTGCACCTGAGTCTCACCTGAATGAATGTGAGAATATCACAAACAATACCTAACAATTATACACTATGCGTTATAGTGGTAGTTGGTATAAGATACCTATATTTCATTAAAGGGGTCCTGTTATGCTTTTTCACTTTTTCAACTTTAGTTAGTCTGTAATGTTGCTGTTTGAGCATAAAAAAGATCTACAAAGTTCAAAGTCCACTTCAAAAGGAGATATTTTAATTAACAGAAATCACTTTCCAAAAACTACAACGAACGACTCGTTTGGACTACAACGCATATTTTCCGGGATTTGTGATATCACAAATATCGACGAATGGGACGAGACCTGGTTGAGAAATCAAGACTTTGCAAAAGAGCATAATAGGACCCCTTTAAATAATTTAATTATATTAAATATTAAGATTTTGGTTAATATATCACAATATACACATTTTAATGGAAATGTCATCAATAAAAATAACAAAATATAACAAAATATTTTATTTAAATAAATTAAGAAATTATTTTATTGATTTTATTAAGATTTTATCTTATTATAAGATTTTGGTCAACATATCACAATATACATGTTTATGGAAAAGTAATTAAGTAATTAAAAAATTTGACTTATAATAAATTGAAAAACTAAAATAACAACATATAACGACAAATTATTTTAAATAAATATTTTATTTATTTGTATTAAATATAATATTTAATTGTATTAA